TCGCAGCCGAGCCTCTCCCTGCTTGCTAATTAATCAAACTATTTTTTTGTTTAATCTAATAGATATGTTTTTCACTTTTGCTGATAGTCTTAAACAAAAAATACAGAAAAAAGGAAAATAATGTCTGAAAATTTTATTGTTTTTATTAAACTTCTGTTTGTATGTGTGCGTGTGTGTATGCATGTGTGTACATCTGTCTTTCCCTTCCTTCAATTTGGAGTTTTTAAAAAAATATTTCATACAAATCACAAAGTACTTCTTGGTAATCTACAAAAAATTCAGTAAAATTATCTATTTATTTATTTTGGTGTTTACAACAGATTAATACCATAATTTTAAGTAGGACTTTTGGAAAGTTACACCATTTGATTTGAAACAGCAATCCAGAGGAAATAAAAGTAACAACCTATACAACAGTATCACCATTTACCATAAAGGAAAACAATGACCTAACAAGATAGTCCATTACCTGTTTCTATCACTGAAACTTTCTTAATACTGCCTGCTGGGAGGCAGGTGAACTTACTGAGAAACAATTTACTTTGACTTTCCATGGAAAAATGTCATCAAATTGCAATATAACAAGCAAATCACACTTTAAAATCAGGGACAACATTATGTTCCACATTTAATTCATTTTATATTTAATTAGCTAGAAATGCCTTTAGTGCAACTGTGCATTGTCCTTTTTCAGCATCTGAGCTGGCATAGGAGCTACTACCACTGCAGACAATAAAATGACACAGGAAGGCAATTCTACCTCCACTATCATTTCATCTTTGTTATAACATTGTTCAAATTCTCAATGATTATTTGGTAAAATATTATAATAACCTTGAAGACATTTCTTAATTTTAAAGGTTAATAAAGATAATGTTTAATACAAAAACCATGAATTTTAAAGCATTAATTTCTCATAATTTCAAGAGGTATAATATTAATACATTAATATATTATTATTTAAATATATAGAACACCAATTTTAGACATGTTTTTAAACCAATAAAAATGATATTTGAATAGTTTTGGAGCAATAATGTAAAAATAATGTTATATGTAAATTCAACACAGTATTACTGAAGACTACATAAAGCAAAAGATACTTTATTGCATGTCAATTTTCAAATAAAAGTGAAATTAATATTCCTTGAAGAGTTTATTATGTTGTTGTTTTTTCCTTGTTTTCTCACATTATTACTGTTGTTTTAAGTGTTCTAATTTTCTAGGAGGACATGCATAGAGCACAGGGAAAATAAAAATTAATTTGAAAGGTAATGGTAAGCTAGTGATTGTTTTTTTACTCAAACATAAAAATAAAATTATTTGAGCCATCCTCCACATGTTATATTGACTCAATAAATCATTTCACCTTTTATTTTGCAAATTCAAAGGACTTGCAATGGCAATAAATATATTAATCAAGAATCAGTGACAAACATAAATTCCGAATTTTTATGGCTACATATCACAGATGAAATTACATAAAATCAGAATAAATCATTTTCAAAAGTCAATTATGTAAGGAAGTTTTCAATTTCTTCTTTCTTTTCCCTTCCTTCTTCCTTCCTTCATTCCTGGTATTGAACATCGAACTCTAGAGAACTATACAGTTGAGTAACATTTCCAATTCTTTATTTTTTTATTTTTATATAGGGCCTTGCTGTGACCAGGAACTTGTGATCCTAATGTCTAAGCCCTCTGAGTTCCTGGGATTACAACTGTTTGCTTCCATGTCCTGCTCATGCAATTTTAATGCTGTGGGAGATGTTTATCTTTCATTTGGCTTTCTATCCTATGTTCATTGGGTCTATAGCTAAATTGAATTGTTTTTATAATAAATATGTTTTCAAAACAACCAGTATATGAAAAAGATAAAGCAGCCCACAACCACTAATTCTAAACATCTTCATAACTCAGTATAGTGCCTGCCATATACAGCATCCAGCATATTTTAACTACACAATTATGATAATTTTCATATGAAAAAAAATCAAATATATCTTGATATGATAGAACAGAGTAAAAGTTTCTTGTCTGATGATTTAAACTTAAAAACTAATAAAGGAATAATAAAGGTTTGGCTAGGAACTCATACTTGGTTTAATTTCATAGATTGTTTCTTCTATTCAGTAATTTTTAACCATACTTTTCCATAGTTGATTTTCATTAAGCTAATAACTTTATACATTTTTGTTAAGCTTATTGGGAAAATTTATGTGTAACACCTATAATGCCTAGAATATGAAATACATAGATATATACTTTCTATTGTTGTAATGCAACTTTTGTATTTTCTAGTGTTCCCAACCATGAAAATAATATATTCTTGTTTTGAAAATATTTTCTTCCTTAACTCAGCGGGTTTAATGTTTACTTTCTTTAATATTAATTGATTTTTTAAAAAAATTCGGATTAGTTTGTATTGTGCTATTATTGTGAATATATTTTATTATGTATCCACGTTGGTTAATGTTAACACAAAGAAAATATGTTGATTTTCATGTATTTATATTGTTACTATCTACTTTAAAAAAATTGCTGAGTCTTATCTTTCTTGTTTCCACATTTTTACTGATTCTTATTTTACTTTCAGGTGTTATTTTAGTGGTAAGGTTTTGGATAACAATATTAAATAAAATACATTATATATATTTATTTATATATAAATAAATATATATAATATTATATATATATATAATAAAGATGCCTATATATATAGGCATCTTTATCCTCCTTAATGTAATGATAATTACATCCAAAGAAAGATGTTTTCCATTGATTTTAGATATATTTTTTCATATGTAAAAACATTACTACTTGTAATTATTTTTTTAAATGAGAAAAAGTACATTTAAGGTTGGAGTTTTAAATCTTTTGTGATATGAAAGAATTTGGGCTTTCTCTTCTTCTTTATATGATTCAAAATAGAATGGGGGAAATGAACATGCTCAATATTACTGACATTCTTTATGATCAGTATTAATGAGTGCATAGTTTATAGATGCAAAAATGCTAATTGTTGAATCAATACTTCAAAATCATTAACTAGAATGACTATTTGCTCTACTAATCTATACTATTGACCATGAACTGTGGTGCTATTCTGAAATTGCACAGCTATGACATTTCTGCCACATTATTTGTAAGAGATCTATAGACAATTCCCTTATAAAATTAGAAAATGCTAAGTTATCAATTAATGTATATCCATAATTCCTGAATTATATCAGAACTCTTCCATTGTGAAAGTTATGAAATTTGTTTGTTGCATTGTATAATAAACCAGTGTTTTTCAAGGATGGGTCATTTGGTTTACAAAGTGGCATTTGGTAATGTTTGGCTGCAGTTTTGCTTGTCATCGCAGTAAGGTATCATGTGCTCCTGAGCACAAGTCAGGGCAGCCAAGGAGACTGGTGAACTTACACAATGCAGTCCAACCACTCCAAGAAAGGATAATCATAACCAAATATTGAGTGCCAATTTTCATTATCTTTGATATAGAGAAAAATAAACTGTAATTTGAAGGACAACTTGTCTATTTTATTGGAAGACAGTATAAGAATTTTTGGTTGGTTTTGATCAAAGAACGTTTCATATTTTTTGTTTCTTTTTTAAGGATAAGAAAATATCAAAGAAGAATGATTTCTATAACTTTTTTGTCTTCAAAACTATTTAAGATAAGCTCTTCCATCAATTATATATGCCTTTTAGGACACAGCAAGCTTCAGCCACAATTGACTACTATCCCCTGAGCTCTGGGTAATCGGCCTCTGAAGGAGGCATCACACCCACACCGTATAAACAGTTATTAAATTCACCATTATTTATTATATTCTATTACCACTTGCAGGAAATGTTTTATAGAGTTTCACATAATACTTTACATCTGTGTTTTGCTCAGGTAAGATTTCATGGTTGGAAAGCATTGTACAACAAACATTAAATCTTGTTTAAAATGAAGCCTTGGAAACACATGAAGGTTGGACAGAAGTCTTCAAATGCAATAAGCTGATTCACAGAGAGACATGACGGTTTGAATTATATTTAATAAACTGTGATAAGTGCTCAAGTGATGGAACCCAGATTCTGCATTGCCGCTTATCAGGAATGTCTACTTAAATAGACTAATCACATATTCTGGTAGAGAATATGTATCAAAATGTACGCTGTGATGTTCAAAAAAGATGACATAAGTCAATCAGACAGTTGCTTATGAATTTCTGCTATTAGATTTTTGGCTGTCAAATTAAATTCAAACATTAATTATAATTCACAGTATCTATAATAAAGGCTTCCTATTTTTGACAACTACATTATATTTAATATAAAAGTTGATAGAAATAATTATTAAGATTATCTTTACTCCTTTTGGAAAATAACATATTATAAAAGGAAATCTTAGCAAATTGCTAAATGTATCTGTCATATTCCTGAGAAGTAGATTTGTATATATTTTATAAGATCAGTTGTTTTTCAGAAAACATTGTATGAATAACTATAATATACAAACATATTTACTCTGAATACTGTTTATAATTATTTTACCCATGTATTAATTCTTATTTTTAAAAAAATTGCCTGAAGCTACCTTCAGGAAACTCAAAGTTTTTGTGAACTTTCATACCTAGTATCTCATTACTTAAAGCAATCAATCCATATTTTTTTCATTGTCACTGAAGGACAAGATTGCCTGTAAAAGTTAGCTGAAAAATATTTTCTCAACACATAAGGATGTTAGGTGTTAGATTGTGTTTGTGTTTTTGTGTGTGTATGTGAGTATGTGTGTGTGCGCGTGTGTGGAGGTGAGAACTATGGAGAGAGAGGCAGAATGATCAGTTATGGAAACCTTTCCCTAAGTGAATATCAAGCTCAAATTCCTACCTAAAGGCAAAGACACCTTCAGAGTTATTAAATTTCTGTGGACATCTACCATACAGATATTTTTCACTTACCAATTATGACATCATTAGGTTCTCATCTTTCTGAGACCCTTGGCCCTTATTTTTCACTCCAGTCCCACAGAGATGTAGACTGATTTCTACCTGCAAAAGCTGACTGTAATTTTTTCAATATGATGTTTATTTCCTGACAACTTCCACCTTCCCCAAGCCCTACCCCTTCCACTTTCCTGGTTCTATTACAATGCCACCCTCTGCTGGGACATATGATATCACAGAGTCCACTTAACATTCAAGATTGTGAGTCAGACAAGCTGGAAAGTCACTGTCCTTTCATAACATAACAATGGAGAATGAAAGCACACAGATAATTTTTTTTTGTCTCCATTCAGACAAATTTCTTGAGATACAAATTATACAAATCTCTCAAGACCTGGTTCTCTGAGACAAGAAATCTGACAATAAGTTTGAACAACTCTTATTTGTACCTGTTCTTCGTTTCATCACTAGTCTTCTCCTTTACTTTGGCTTGCCTGGAATTATACTCATTAATGTAATAGAAATACATTAACTTTGGTGATCAGGCTGTACTTTCTAAAAAACTGAAGTTAAAATGGTGCAAAAAAAAAGACATACAATGTGAGTAACAGAGCTTCCCCAACACTGTTTTCTTAATGGCTAAACTCTTTTATATTCCCGCCAAGAATGCTTAAGTTCTTCTCTACCCACCCCTTGCTAACATTTTTATTTATTGTCATTATTATTAGTAGTAAGTAATAGCCATTTTAAATGAGATGTAGCTGTATCTCATGGTGATTTCAATTTTTCTTTCCCTAAGAATTAGTAATATTAACCATTTTTCATGTATTCACTGTCCATTTATATTTTCCTTTGAGAAATGTTTATTTAGGTCTGAATCATATTTTTAAATTGTAATTTTTATTTGACAGTATTTCTAATAAATTCTTTATTAACCTCTTGCCATGAGTATAGTTTGTAAATATTTTCTTCCATTCTGTAGGAAGTCTCTTCTCTGTTGGTTGTTTCTTTTGCTGTATAAAAACTTATTTGTTTGGTTTTAAATATTACATTTTCCATTTCTAACCTGAGACTCTTTGTGATTTTAAATATATTTTTTTCTTTTCTCTTTCTAAATTTCAATTCTGTTTTTCAAATCATGAAACATAGGATACAGGATACACTTCTATATTAGCTATAATGATCAGGTCAAAATTTAAAGCATTTACTTATTTGATTCTGCTGGTCCAAATTTGTAGTATTTTGTAACTACATATTATTATTATTTTAAAATTATTTTTGTCATTTGCAATGAGTTCATAATAGTTAGAGTTTAATATAAAGACTGAATTTTGATATTTAAGTAACATATTGTGTTTCCATGTGCTTTTTTCCTGAGAGTTATTCCAATGTAGGACCATAGTAATTGAATTATTTCCATAAATATTTTCAGACCAAGATAGGTAGACCCATCTGACCAATGTCTTCAGTTGTCAAGATACCTAATGGCAGCCCTAAAATTATTAATTTTCACTAAAGATATTTTTCACTTCTTTCATATTAATGTCAAGGAATTTGATGCAATTTTTTTTCTCTTTCTTTTTTCTGTTCTTTTTTCCTGGCAGAAAACTTATATGTGGAAGAATATGATTATTTATTTCATGATTGTTTTAAATTTTTGGTGAGATTTAATGGATAATTTCAACTTAATATAGAATTTATTTTTATTGTTTGTTCTGGAAACTTATACAGCACTCAATAAAGGAATGTGAACTTTATTAAGGAATATCAGAGATCAAGGGGAAAAGCCTGCTTCACAATAATAGTATTCCAACTCTCATTGTTTTGGCTTCTGAAGCTACATTCTTCCAAATGTACAATTTTTTGAAACATTTATTTTTTCATTTTTCTGATGTCTTTAAGTAACATCACCACAATGCTAGCATGCAATGTTCTGCTTCTCTTGAAACTATTAACAGAGTGTCTGGCTGGTGGCATAAGATGTATTGAGGTCAATAAGTCCAGATTATTTTCAAAATAATCATTAGATACCAAAGATGAATTATATGCTAACATTTTGATATACAAGCGTATTGATTAAAGTAGAAGTAGAAAAATGAATTAGACCTATATCAAAAAATAAATGAGGGGCTGGAGTTGTGATGCAGCGGTAGAATGCTCCCATAGCACATGCAAGGTTTGATCCTCAGTCAACATAAAAAAATAAATAAATAAAATAAAGGTAAAAAATATAAATAAATAATATTTAAAACCATAGGGTTATATAATATTGCAGGCAGATCATATAGATATGAAAAAAAAGAGATGCAAAGTTGAACTCTGCTGTACCCCACATGTAGAATTTAGAGAAGAGGGAACTCTAAGAATTCCAATTGCAACTGGGAACAATAGAGTGGAAAAGAGCAACATGAACTATTTTAAGATTCCAAATGAATAATTAAGTGAAAATAATGGTAGTTAAGTTTTAGAGCATTTTTGAACATATAGAGATTGAAAACTAGACCAAGCTACCTTAGATAGTTCACATGACTACAAAAAATTAAGTTGCTGTTTTACATGTGCAATTTTTAAACATGAATAGCATTACATTTTTGACTGAGCTGTGAATCATAATGCCAATGTTGACAATGAAACTATGTTTTTTTGTCATCATATAAACTAAATTAGAAAAGAATTTCAACTGTCAGTTGATTAGAGCAAAGGACTCCAATGGACTGGGTTGAAAGCTTCATCCATAATTCATTCTGTATAAAGTGTGGAAGTGTATGTCTCTGGGATTGCTTATTTACTGAATACGAAATTATAGTAAGTTCAGAAACATATTCAAATAAATGATTAATATTATATATGTAATTTTAAAAAGACTAGTAAAAGTCCAAAGAACAAAAATATCCAGACAGTGTAAAAGCAGAGATAATTTTTGGTTTGGTGTATTTACAAAAATTCTAAGTAGTACTTGTTCCTTACAAAAGACCTTATTAGTAACCACCATGGTTACTATAAGTAATCACCAATGTGAGTAAAGACACACACACAAAAAAGTACAATAACATTCATTAGTATCCAATGTTACTATAAACTGCCTAAAAATAAGAAAATATTTATTCATATGATTTGTGAATTGTGGCTTTATTTTATGGGAATTGATATTGTTCTTTCTACATTGCTCCATTTGCTGTTTCTTAAGGTTGATTTAACAGATCTCAGGTATTTCAGCAGTATTATTCCAAAGAACTTGTATTTTGGACAAGTCACTGCTTTTTCAATGTACCATGTCCTTTCATTCTGATTTAGTTTTCGCAAGGTAAATCTTCTTGCTGTATTGCCTATGAATTGCTAGGATTTTTTCATCCAATGAAAGTAGAAATGTAAAGTTCTCAGAAAAGAAAAAAAGGAAAACCTTTGTATTGCTGATGTTCTGTCATCCTTACTTGCATTTTTCCTCAGAGATAGTTACAATAGATGTGAGAATGTCACATAAGTAGCAACTCTAGTTAAGGAATTCAAATTATTTTTCTTTGTATTACATAATTAGTTCAAAGCAATGGAGTCCTTTTTTTGTGTTTTGTATTATTTTCCAGTTTTGAGGTGGGAGAGTTTTCCACAATCTAAAATGAAACTGAAAGAATTAGAAAGAATAGTGAACACTCACTCATATCAAATGTAGAGGGTGTAAAGTAGAATCATTACAATTTTGACATGTTTAATGGGTTAATATAAAAAACAATCACAAATCTGAATGTATTTGAAGATGAAACACATGAGTCATTATTACCTCTCTTTATATTTTTATGAGATTTTTCTTCTTCATATCTTTGTATACATGCATATTTATTTTATCATAGATTACTCAATATCTATAGTCTGTATTCTAAAACTCTGTAAAATGTTTTGTAGATTTGATTACTATTGTTAAATTTTTCCTTGTTTCTGGTTAGTTATACTAATTCTATTTTCTCAATATTTTTATAATGATATCATAATAAAAATTTGTGTTTTATTTTTCAATGCTGGGGATCAACTGAGGGTCAAATGCAGGCTAGGCAAGCACTCTTCTACTAAGTTATATCTCTAGCTCAACGTTTGTGTTTTGAGCACTATTTTAGGATATGTCTTTGCATAATTTCTTAGTTATAAGACTCTTTCACTAAATTTAAGCATGCAAATATACTACAAATATAAGTGGCCTGATTTGTTTTTTAAACAGTTTCATTGAAATAAAAATTAATATATATGTAATTCATTAATTTAGAGTTTCTCTAATTCAGTTTTATTTAGTGTATTTCACTGTTAATTCTTAAGGGGTGATATAATGTATACTATATAAAATTTGTCTTTTTAACCATTTTAAGTATACAATTAAGAGGCATTAATAACAATTACATTGTTGGGAAACCAACGCCACTTCTATTTTCAAAAGCTTTGAATCACAATAAATAGAAAATTTGTGACATTAACACCCCATTCCTTCCTTTTTGCAGCCAGATGTAGCCTTGTAAGCTACTTTCCATGAATTTATTTAATCTAAATATTTCATGTAAATAGAATCATATAATATTTATCAACTTAGATCGGCATTATTTTACCTAGATTTAGGAGTTCATTCACAATACAATGCAGCATAAATCAATATTATTCTTCTTTATGGCAGAATAATATTTAGTGATACACACATACACACACACACACACATACACAGAGACTATGCACAAACAACATCTGATTTATCTATTGATGGACACTTGGATTATTTCTTCCTTTTGGCTATTGTGAATAATGCTGTAATAAACATTCATACAAAATATCTGTCTGAATCCCCGTTGTTATGCGCTAAATTGTTTTTCTGCAAAATTAATGTCTTAACCCCTAGTTATTCAGAATGTGGCTGTTTGGAAATAGTTCTTTAAAGACTAAATTCGGTATTTCAATCAACCCTAATCCATTATGATTGTGGCCTTATAAAAAGAGATTAGGGTTGGGGTTAGGGTCAGAGACCCTGTGGCTAATAGAAGAAAATGTAGGCTCAAATCTTCATCATGTCAACCGAGGACCTGACTTCCTTAAGGAGATTCCTAAAGTCAAGCACTAAAATCTAGAATCAATAAATGGGATTGATTCAAACTAAAAAGCTTCTTCTCAGCAAAGGAAACAATCAATAACATCAAAAGCAAGCATATATAAGGGGAGAAAATCTTTACCATATGTGCCTCTGTTAGAGGTGCTAATCAGATAGAACTGTTAATCTCCAGAATGTATAATGAACTCAATAAACTTAACACCAAAAAAAAAATAATAACCCAATCAATAAATGGGCTAAGCAACTGAATAGACACTTCACACAAGAAAAAATACAATCAATCAAAAAACATTTAAAAATGTTTAGCATCTCTAGCAATTAGTGAAATACTGATTTTTCATCTCACACCAATTAGAATGCCAATTATAAATAATACAAATAATAATAAATTTTGGCAAGGATATGGGGAAAAATGTACACTCTTACATTGCTGGTAGGACTGCAAATTGGTGCAACCATTATGGAAAGCAATATGGAGATTCCTCAGAAAATTTGAATGGAACCACCATTTGACTGAGCTATCCCACTCCTTAGTTTATAGCCAAAGGACTTAAAATCAGCATATTACAGTGATACAGCCACATCAATGTTTATAGCAGCGCAATTCACAATAGCTCATCTATGAAACAAACCTAGATGCGATTCAACAGATGAACGGGTAAAGAAATTGTGGTATATATACACAATGGAATATTACTGAACCTTAAAGAAGAATAAAACTATAGCATTTGCAGGTAAATGGGTGGAACTGGAGAATTTCATGCTAAGTTTAATAAGCCAGTTATAAAAACCAAAGGCTAAATATTTTCTCTAACAATTGGATGCTGATACATAATGGGGAAAGGGGCTTTGGAATAATGGAAATACTTTGGATTTTGCAGAGGGGAGTGTGGGTAGGAGTTGGGATGGGGAGTGGGAAGGCTGGGGAATGAGAAAGACATTGTTACCCTATGTACATGTATGATTGCACAGCCTGTGTGACTCTGCATTGTGTATAGCCAGAGGAATGAGAAGTTGTGTTCCATTTGTGTACAATGTATCAAAATTCATTCAGCTGTCATGTAATAACTAATTAGAATAAATAAAATAAATTAAATGAAAAATTTAAAAAACAGACAAAAAAAGAAAAAAAAGAAAAACAGAGATCATGGAAAACAGAGGGAAGACTGTGGAGACAGGGAAAGAATGCCATGTAAAACTAATGACAGAGTACTCACAATTTGATTTTATCTTCTAGCCTCCAGTAGTATAAAGTAATAGATTTCTAATGTTTAAGCCATATGCTATGTGGCACCTTTTTATGAAAGGTCAAGCAAACTAACTTAGCTACTTCATTTTTTTTGAATTTATACTTAACAGTAAAAACTCTGAGTAATATGATAATTTATGCTTAGATTTTGGGGAAGTGAGAAATTTTATTAGAAATATTTGTTTCTTACCTCATCAAGATTTTGAGCTATGTACTTGAAAGTAAGTTGAATATAACATAATCCCCTTAGTTTCATAGAACTCACTCTTTAAAAGATCAGAAAACCTGGATGCAGTGGTAGAGATATTTGGAAGATACTTAGGTTAAATTCATTATGCCCTCGACAACATTGAATGACTCCCCTTTAATCAGTTTTAAATTAATAGATGAAAACAAATTTCCTTAAATTGGAATACATTATAAAATAAAAAAATAATAGCAACAAATTCCTTCCTTTTAGACATTCTCCTATAATACAAAGGTGTATACTTTCCCATCACAGAGTAAAATCTATTTCTCTACACCTTGAATCTGTTACTTTCTTTAAAAGTACTCATACACTGAGGTGCACGCTTTGTAGTTGATCCCTATGACTACCCTATAAGCAAATGTAATTTAAATTGCTAGAAAATGAAAAGCCATATGGAGAGCAAAAGCAACCAGCAGAGATCTAGCCAATTATCAATGTGTGTGTGAGCCCATCCAGAAGCATCCAGATACCAGTCAATATGTTCTATAATTTGAAATATTTTTTTCAAATAATTTTTCAATAATTTAACTAATTTTCATAATTTTTCTTGTTCCTAAGATTTAATATCATTGTGATGTGCTATATTCATTTGTTTGCCTTGGTGAATATAAATATCTTGATTCAACCTTGGAAAAATTATGCTATGGTCAGAAAAGGCTGAAAGATTTATGAATTCTCTGGACCATGCCCTTTACCTCCCCTGTCTCAGAGGTCATTGTCCTATACAGTTTAATGTTCACTGTGGGAAAACCATTGATATGTATATTATATCTAGTTTTTTTTTTTTCAGTTGTTTAAGGCAAGAGCATAAATCACTCCATCCATCTGGAAGTGGAATTTTCAGGTTATGTAAGTATACGCAGTTGGTATGTCAACCAAAATAGAATTCAGAGGAAAAACTGCTTACGGAAATGAAGAGAAACTTTTTGCAATAAATAGTAAAAGAATCAATTAATCTATAAGACATACAACCTTAACTGTGTATGATTTTAATTGCAAAGCTTCAAAATATGTAAACAATAGTTACCTAAAGAAAGCACAGACAAATCAGTACACTGAAGAGAACTAACATCCTTCTATCTTTAATTCATTGACTGAGTACACCCAAATATTATTGTCATGAAGTAAGTGGAAGAATTGACAAAAGCAGAAATAGATGTTTGACATTTACAATCAAATATTTCCCAAACACACATTGTCAAGTGAAGATGGCTCATACATTAAATCTTAATGTATTTGAAAATTTGAATTCAGAGTACATTTTCTAGTCACAAGTATAAATCAACCAAAAAAATTAGAAAAACACATTTGTTTAGGAAATAAGTGAAACATTTCTGTACATTCTGTTGCAATGTCATTTCTTAAAATACTGATATTTATATACTGATATTTTAGCTTCTTTCCTGTGATTAATCTTACTATATGTCAAAAAAAGAGTGATTAATCTCTTCAAAGAAGAAATTTCATCTTGATTTTTTTCCTTTTCTTAATTTCTACTTCTATCCTCATTTTTAATCATTATTCTTTGTTCTTTAGTTTTAATGTAACTCCTTTTATTTTCTTATTGTGAATGCTTTGTTGATTTTGCACATCCTGCTTTTTCAGTGAGTATGTGTTTTAGTCAGCTTTATTTATCTATATCTATCTATCTATTTCTCTATCTGTTTATTTTTGCTTCTGTGACCAAAAGATCTGACAAGCACAATTTTAGAGGAGGAAAAGTTTATTTGGGGGCTTCCAGTTGGTTTCAGAGTTCTTAGTCCAGAGACAGCAGTTTCCTTTGCTCTGGGCTCAAGGTGTGACAGGACATCAGAGTGTGGTGGGAGAAAACAGCTCAGGACATCAAATCAAGAAGCAGAGATAGAGAGTTTTCCATCTACCTGAGAGGAAATATATACCCCAAAGGAAAATTTCCAATTACCCACATTCTACAGCCATACTCTACTGGCCTCTGGTTACTACACAGTTAATCCACTCAACTGGATTAATGCACTGATTAGATTAATGCTTTCATGACCCGATCATTTAACCTCTGAATTTTCTTATATTGTTTCACAATATAAGGCTTTTAGGGGATACCTCACATCTAAACCATAACAGTACAAGAAACCATACTTTATTTTCTAAATTACTTTGTTTACATCTCAAAAGTTTTGACATTTTTAGTATTATTTTCCTTTATATCAAAATATATTCTAATTTCCATGGGGCTTTCTCTTTTATTCATGGGTCTATAGAAATGTAAGGGCATGCCACTATAAGATAATTATTGGTACTAATGACTGACTAATTATTCTTAACATTTTTTGAATCTGAAATTAATCTAAAATGATATTTTTAAGTTAAATAAAGCTTTAACTCAATTTCTATAACATTTATTTTAGAAACACAGTATGTTTCAACATTATAAATGTATTTCAATATGCTAAAGACTAAAGGAGAAATATTCAATTATTTTCATAATTTAAAAATATAAACTGAAATTAAATATTAAATATTTTAAAATAAATGTTAACAATAAGAAGAACTAAATACCCAACTTATAGAAATAGAGTAATTGTTTATACAGGAAATATCTATAAGAAACATAGTCAATATCAGGTTTGTAGTGAACTATTAATATAGATTTAAATTCAGGATCTAGATTAGAGTACTGGTTGTTATAACTACCAAAAAAGGTTAAATTTGAGGTAACTATCAGATATTATTCAATTAATTTTAATAAAATTTTAATTTTAATAATTTTAGACTATATAATTTGTAAAAGGGTTAGAAAGTGTGAGTTTATTTTTGGCTTATATTGAATATATGGTCAATTATATTTATGTTTTTTTCTTCACAAGACTACTTTTGTACTTTCACCATAATTGAATATGTTTAACATCATCATAACTTAGAAGTATATATCTAAATATCTTTTATATGATTTCTATCATTAAAATAGTTTAATGATCAAATACAGAAATGAAAAAATGCAATTGATTTTTTTGTCAAATATATTACTCTGCACCAAGATAGCAAGTGAGTGATGTGAACTGTAAACCAACTATCTGCCATATTTAATGTTTTTGTAACAAACTGCTTTCCTTCATCATAATATTAGCAAAAATTGTGTGTGCAGTCATAAGATGATTTTCAGGGCTTGATTTCCTTCAAGATGAAATTTTATGATCAATTTTTTTGTTTCCTTTGTGATTTAGTTATTTAGAAGGAATTTAGTGAGTAATTTCTATGAGCATTCCTTTGTACTGAAATTGGAGATTTAAAAATAATTGTAAAATGTGTCCCTTTCTGGGAATAATTTTCAATATTATTCATAAATTTAAAAATAGACTTATAAGGACTATAGTATAATAGAAACATAACATGAATCTGCTCTTGAACTACATTTTGAAAATAAGTGAATTATTAAAAGAAAAATTAAATTATTAAATAATTAAGTAAAAATAATATAAGTAAATATGTCAAAAAACATAGACAATTTGAAATTAGATATCCAAATTAATGTTTTTTACCAAATATTATTCTTCTGTTTTAATTCCATTAATTTGATATTAGCCCAAGAGAAAATCATGCTATCACCTTATAATTGAAAATATGTACTTACAGAACTTAGTTGCTTTATAAATTCAGAAGCTGAAGTCTGAATTTATTTAAAAAAAATGCATGTTTTATCTTTAGTTTCTCTGATGGATCATTCTTCTATTTAGAAAAATTCACTGAGTATCTATATGAGACAAATATATAGACAATTGAGAAAAGCCCTGAATGAGAAAATTACTCTTTTACAGAATCTACATTTTAGCAAAAAGAATAATTCATGTACAAATCAAATAATGTGTTTTTTACCATTGAAGATACTGGGCACATTAAAGGTTAATAGATGTTTGCCTAAATATAGGTTTGATAGGCCAATATAAATAATATAAATATCATAAGGTTTTTGGTTTGCAAACAATTAGAAGGACCAGTCCTGGAATCAGAAAAAAATATGTAAAAAGATTTTCTAAGGACTAGGATGTAGCTGAGTGACAGAAACTATTTCCTTGCATGTATGAGGTCTTGGGTTCCATGCCTAGCATCAGCACAAGAAAAACAAAAATATTTTTTCCAGAACTTTAAGCAGGAGATGATGAGAATGTTAAATAACAAGTTTGAGATGGGGATGGGAATTGTGCATAGACTAGAAAAATATTTAAGAGAGGCACTCTTCCTGTATTTATTCGTAAGAGAAACAGTTTTTTTTAAGGTATAAATGATTTTCAGATTTCTTGCTTTTACTTCTATTATCCTTGTCCTGATATTTGCTTTGATTACCAGCTAAAGACAAAAGATAGGAGTGGAAAACTATGTTCTTGGGCCAAATTTACCTAGTCATGTGTTTTTGCAAATGAATTTTATTTGCACAAGTCATATCCATTATCAGAGTTGAACTATATTTTCCTCAAAGCCTAAAATGTGTATAATCTAGCCCTTTACAGAAAATGTTTATTGGCTTTGGATTAAACCAAAACAACAGAATTCATCCTTGTTCTATTTGATCTTAGATAGTTAGATGGTTTATCAGCACTCTACTTCTGTATCTTCCAGTTTTGCCTCCCTGGGAGCTACCACTCCAGTAAGCTTAGCAGCTTTCTACACTATAATAGCAAGATCTTTCTATCAATTAGAAATTGAATCTGAGGAGAGAAAACATTTCCAAAAAAGTTTTAGACAGATTCATTGAAGTCATTTTCTCTATTCAGATCTGTATCTTGTACCGTTATGGAGTCATTAATAGGATAAGGACCAAAACTCACCTGATCTGTAAATCAGGATTTGAAGCTCTCAAAGAAAATCTTGACACTGGTAGAACTCATGCCAGTAAATAAAGTTAACAGATGTTCATCCAGGTGTGGTGGTGCACACCTATAATCCCAGCAACTTGGGGGGGCTAAGGTAGTAGGTTGACAAGTTCAAGGTCAGCCTCAGCAAATTAGTGAGACCCTCAGTAATTTGTTGACACTGTATCAAACAAACAAATAAACAAAGACTAGGGCTTTAACTAAGGGATAAAGTGCCCATAGGTTCAATCTGCAGTACCAAAAACAAAGACCACAACAAAAAGTTAACAGATGCCAGCATTTTGGGAATGCAAGATGTAAGAGAGAAAGAAAAAAAAAGTCAGCTTTTGTCATATTGAGATAAAGAAAAAAATCAATGGTTAAAAAAGTAACTCAAGTAGTTAGTGCACACTATGAGGTAGACAGAGTTTTGATGTTTGAAAAACTTTACCTGTGTTGACATGATTACCTCTGGCAATGTTGATGTGTAGAAGATATCAGTACTTCCTTTATATAGATTAGAATATTGTGGCAGATTGAAAATAATAGTTTTTAAATGATATTTACTTGCTATTTGATAGACACTTTACTGAGCAAATAGTACTGTTTATTGATATTTTTGTTCCTGTGAATGCATTAATTATTAAAGAATCACTGTTCAAAGCATTGAATTCCTAACTATGTACAAAAAGCCAAAGTCCCTACCTTCTTGGAAATTACACTACCCTGACAATTATAAAAATGTAAGAAAATGTGTGCTTTCAAAACTCATATAACATAAGCAAAATATTTATGTAAATGCTGCATGTGTATCTCAACTCTATGCATAATTTATCTGTGAATTAATATAATACCAAATATTCCTGTTTTATGAGTGTCAGTATAATTTTCAAGGAAGGAAAGAGAAATGTAGAATTTCATTTTCTGTAAAATCTTCCATATGTTTAAAGAAAATTGGAACTTTGTGGTTACAGAAAAGGAAAGCTAAATGTATTTGACTAAATAAATGACAAATTAATTGAAGGAGCATGTAAGGGGAAGATCACGATTACAACAAATTATTAATGAGTTGTTGAAAAATGGAAAACACTATTCAATCCACCTTTAAATGAGCTGGTGGTTTTATGTGTCTATTTTACAACTGTAGAAATCCTAGCAGTCACTTGGCTAGTAGAACACTATACACTGTAAAAGCAGGATTAGAATCTCCATGGATACAGCTAGAACAGCAAAATTCTTTTCACTACACCAGGTGCCTCCACAGAACCCCACTGTTGACATGGATGCCAACTGTTCTCTTGTTTCCAATGTGAGGAGATCTGAGACTTTGCCATTGACTCAAGAAAGTTGAAAGCAACTATTTCCTGATATTGACAGAGATGGCAGCATGACTGCAAACTTTGTACATAATTGTAAGAAAGAATGAAAGATTTTTGGACTCACTGTTTTATTTCTTTAATCCCACAGCACAGGGTATGAATTCAGGCAGTAGGTGGTTTTGTTCTTTGACTGTTTAAGCAAATCTGTTAAGATGAACTTTTCTACCTTAAGCACCTGAGCGTTAGTGGCAGGAGTCCTTTTTTCCCTTAAACAGATTATGGAGCAGACAATTTTCTTTTCTTTTTTAAAATTTTTTAATTTAGAAAATGGTCAGAGAGTAGGTCTCACCTGTGACAGAAAGATAAGTCAACTTTCTTAATGTCTATGGATGTGAGTAAATTAAAATTCCCAGTTATGGAAATCACAGGCACAAGAATAGCCTTCTTGTTTATTTTGCATCATATTTATATTACATTATTTTAAATGTCATAATGAAGCTGAATATAGAAATACATAATAGCAGTGTTTCAGTAATAATGATAGAGAAATATAGTAAAAATGTATATGATTTTAGATGGAATAGCAATATTCTTAGTTTTAAAAATTTGGAAAATTTTCATTAATCTAGGTAAAATCTATTTTCTGTTGATATAAACTTACATTATAATTAAGTAATAAAATGAGTCTTGTAGGTTTATGAATGTATTTATTACTTTCTGGTAATTCAACATCTAATCTCAACTGTATTGTCAGATTAGTTTTTCTATTGATCATCTTAATAATATTCAGAATTTACACATATAAAATCCAGTAGAATTCTAAGTATATCAATATCCTCAAAGAGAGTACTAAAGAGGAACTTAATAACAACAATGATAACATTCATGGAAAACATTGTTTACATTATTTTTTAATTACAAAACACAGTGATGTTTTCTTTTACATTGAATAATCTAAATAATTGCTTAAAATCTTCTATTTCCTTAAACTAGATTCTTAAAACCTTTGTGATAGGTGGCAGGCAAGGGTATACAAATCTGTTAAAATCCTGTTCCAGGAAGTTGCTTGTATAACATGCTTATTATTGTTCTCATTTACAATCTCTTTCAGACAGAGTTATATACAAGCATATGTTGAGCAAAATATAACATGGTATTATTTTCTTATGCCAAAAAAGATAAAACCGAGTTCCACTTGAGGTACTCTCAATTGCAGTGTCTCATAAAATTGTTAATGTTTAGATGTAGGTACAGGTACAGATATAGATGTAAGTGTAGGTATGTATAGATACAAGTATACTTTCTCCAAAGAGGTTTCAGTTCATGGCATCTTAAGCACAAAGTTAGGATGATTATAAATGTAAATGATGCACAAGAATAATTGTAGTCTGCTGAAAGTTTATAAATCATAATTACTTTAGTGAATGATTTTTATAAAGAATAATTGAAATGTTATTTGATTAGAGGTACCATTTAATGCTCAAAATTTTATTTTCTACTAATCACCAAACATATTCCCTATTGGTTTTTAGGGGGACTGACTTTTCAATTTAGGGTACTGTCATTTTTAACAGAGATTAACATCAAAGATAGTTTTCTTGGAGGGTCATTTTACTAGAAAATTTGAAGACATAGTAATTTGTCATATTAAGTTAAAGTTTGTTTAGAGGAGAATGCAATAACTGTTGAAGAAATGCTTTCTTTTAGTGTCCACTTTGAACTGCTATTGTTTTATGTTTCTCCAGTGTATGTATGTGAATGTTTGAAAAGCACTTGTTACAAAGAAGAATCTTCTGTTATTTTCTTCTATCTTCACAAGATAATGAATTATTAACATTGTTTTAAAAATGTTTATCTGCTATTCCTGAAATAACATCATAATGTCTTCTCCACCAAAAGTCCTTATCTTCATTTTCAACATAAAATTATATATATAATCACTTTTACTCTATATAAAAATTTTGTAGTTTGCTTACAATTTTTTACATTCTAGATACAAAATAATGTAACCATGAAGCAAATTGTAAAAATAATTTCATCCTAAATGGAAAACGTTAAAAATCTGTGTGACTTATGTAGGTAGCCCAGACTTCCAGTACCTTGATATGGATGAATTAATCAACAATGACAAATTTATATTTTGTATAGTTTGAATTTTATTAATTTGCATAATGAAGGGAACTTCAGCTCGTTGTAATCTATGAGGAATCAATCACTTCATATACAGTGTTCACTTCCCAGCTTTGGAACCATAGTGCCTGGAAATGATAAAGTAGTTCCCAGAATTTCAGTGTTAATTACATTGTAGTACATCATGGAGTCACTTGTTGGGGGGGGGAAATTTTATAGATTTGTATTACATTGCTATCCAGTATTAATATGGTATAAATTGAATAAGAAATGATTTTTCCAAGTTTGATTTTTAGTATTATTCTCACTAAGCTCTGTCAGAAACATTTGATACTTTGAAAATCTATGCTCAGAAATTACTCAGCCTAATAAACATGTTAAAATTATTTTGGATCTAGTCTACTGTAATTGCTACTGTGAAACTTTGACCAGATTTCCTCTTCAAGATTTCCAATGCACTTACTTTTCCAATTTATTAAAATCTCAGGGCTGAGACCATTCACAACTCCATTACTCTATTGAGAATTACATTTATTCACAAAGATCTGTATAGTTCAAGATTATGTCCTTGCCTGAAAGTATCCTGAAATCAATTGTTGCCCAAAGGTGAGATAGTAAAATAGACCTCTTATATCATGATTTGCAACAATGCTGGAGTTCCATTCCAATTCCAGAGTTCCTCATAGAATCATCTAAATTCTCAATTGTTATCACATTTTTGGTCAGCTTGTCCCTCTGCCTAATCCTGAATTTTTCATTTCTTTAAAACCGTATACCCCAAGGACACTCTACAACACCAAATTTCCCTATAATTTCTCATTTTATTATATATTCCAGGAAATCCATGTAACAGTTATTCTTGGTCTTAAAAAACTACCTCTATGATACACATATAGTGCTGAATCTCTTGCTGATGTATTGAATATTCATAAAAGTGTATGAAATATTTGTCTACTATAAATATTGTCATTTCAAGAAATCCTCAAAATTGTCTTATAAAACATCATTTTACAACTAATGTTGATAAATATTTAATATCAGTTTTTCAGTCTTTTGAATACCAAACTCTAAATAAATCTTCCATTCTGCTTGTATATAAATACTATCGTATATTGTCAGAATCAATAATTTACATTTCACTCAAAGTAAAATATATCAAGATAAATGTGTCCTTTGAAACAAATCATCTACTACTTTAATTTTACTATTACACCTATGTCGAAATTATTATTATTAACAGAAACAGTAAGAGAAACAAAATAATAATTTTTCCTGTTGTATGTTAACTAAGACTTTTAGATAGATTTTCCTCTTTAGTTATCAACCAAATTTTGTGAATAATTATTTGTTATTGACAAATAATTTTATCATATCCTCAGGGTAAATTACAGATGAAATTTTCAACCAAAAACTTATTTGTAGAAAGGTTAAGTAAATGACAAATGCCACAAAAGAAATAAATAAACATAAGAGGATATTAAACCCAGATTAGGGGGCTCCAAAACCCAGAGACATACTACCTACCATTTTACAGTAGAAAGAAGCTAATAGTTTAGAATTTATTTATGGGCTCAATTACACCAGAAAATAAAATAATTAAAATTTAGAAGAAGGAGGAAATTAGGACAAGATGGAAGAAGAAAAGGAGGAGGAAGTGAAGGTAGAAGAGAAAGACATTACAGCTCAAGACTTGATCTAGAGTTTATAAGGAAAGCTCGGTTGTATCACTCTACTGTCTAAGCCCAGAAGGATCTCATAACAATGTTCTCAAGAACCCAAGAAAATCCTTGGGGAGAAAGTAGCGTAGGATACCAAGGCAACAGAAATGTCTGTTTTTTAGTAGGTACTAATGGATTTAAGAAAACACCTCTTTTTATGAGACATAATCTTTATGTATAAATATTACTCTTCCCCCTTTATCTCTACATCTTACCCTTCCTATCACAAAGGTCTTACCTTTCATATCTCTCTCTCTCTCCTCTCTCTCTCTCTCTTTCTCTCTCTCTCTCTCTCTCTGTGTGTGTACGTGTGTGTGTGTGTGTGTGTGTGTGTGTGTGTGTGTGTCTTACTCCCTCTCTCTGTCATTTTCCATGTCCAGTACTACTGAAAGAATATAAAATGAAAATAAGCACTGGAGCTTAATAGTTTTTGTTCACATTGATTATCACCACATTATAAACTGCCCGGTTAAAATTCAGTGACTTAAAATGGAAATAATTTATCTTGTTCATGAAACTGCATTTCGGGCAGGGCTTAGGGTGAAGGTTTTTCTCTGTATCAAACAGGTTTGCGGAAGAAATCACTTGGGACTGGAAGTCTTATTTTGAAGATGTGCACATAAATGATTTGTTGAGTCTACAGGCGGGGTATCTAAGCCATGACTATCATTCAGAACCTGTGGAATATCTCCAAATAGGAATCTCTAAAGAATTTTTTAATGGTTTGATCCAAAAAGTAAATGTTCCAAAAGACAGGAATTAAAAGATGCCAATCTCTTAAAACCTGGAACCAGAAATTGACATAGCATTATACTTACCATATTTCACTAATCAGAGCAATCACAGAGGCTGGGTGGCCTCTTTATGAGAGGAAATCAAAATTATTGATGTGACAAAGGTAAAATAAATATGAATATAATTAGCCCAGTACAGCCTTGGAGTACAGGGTGAAATCTTTAGTGAAAGACATGTACTGTTAAGATCTTATGCAAACTTCGGGAAACAAATGCCTCTCTGTTTCTCCTTCTCTCTGACTTAGGCTCACCCTCCCGCCCAACAGCTCTCATTTAATTTCGTGATAAAATACATAGAAACAATATTAGAAGTCTGGGGTAAAGAAATTAAGTAGACTATTTTCTCTATATCTAAACCCAGAAATGCAAAAATAAGACTTCAACCTCCTACTCAGGCAACCAAAACCACGGAACCAAACTATATTAATTTGGACCCTATAGCTATCATGCTCAACTTTAGTATTCCACTTAGAGAAAGTGTTATGATTGCAAAGGCCCTCAGGAAAGAGATAACAGAAGCAAATTAAATGTATTTGAATGAAAAATATTTAAACTTTATATTTAATGACTTAATGGAGCACAAATTCTAGGGTTCACCCTGTGCCTT